ATCTACAGCTGTTCCTGCAGAGCGAGTCTAAGGATGGCATTTCCCTGACTTTACACACTGGGGGAAAGCTCCCAGCCCCTGCTGCCGACGCTGTAGAGGATCTGTCTAAGTGGCTCATGCGTGATGCAGCTGCCCGCCTTGCTGTCCGCAACCACCTGCCCGTCACTGAGCGCGCGCACTTTAGCCGACAGAAAACGGCCAAGGATCTCTGTGACGCTGTAGTTTCTCGCTACTCCTCCCCAGCTACTGCTGCTGTAGGCCGTCTCATGCTGCCGTACCTGCATCCCGATCTAGCTGAGTTCCGCACTGTCTCTGACCTCTTTACCTACCTCCGCTCTAGTGAGGATCGCTTCCGTGCCGCTCTGATACCATGTCAGAATCAGTAGCTAGGTGAGAATGTCGATTAGGTAAGAGGGAGGGGTACAAGACTATCGAGAGAATTGGGTTGTATCCTCTAAGGAAAGAACCCTACAAAACCTAGAGTGAAATGAACAGAACAATATGTTTTGACACCTCTGACTGGCAAACTGGGGCGAGCTGGCAGCCCTCCGGGCCAAAGGAGGCCTCGGGATTGTCGACAACCTGACGACCTCGGGTTTCGCTGAGAGAAACTCGAGAAGGATATCTCAGCGGACAAAAAACCGCAGCTAGACACGTCGACCGTCGAGCCGCGATTTCAGCCACGCGGCCTAGTACGGACGATCACGATCGTCCCTTTTAATCGCGGGGTGCCCTGACCGCCACGACGTGGCCACGCGTCGCACCTCGGGTCATTTTTTTTTGCGCGGGAACACCTCCCGCCGATAAAAAAAATGTCGGCGACGTCCATGTCAAAGTATATGCATGTTACATATGTGTAGGCTGTAGTGGGGTAGCCAATATGGAGTACAGCCCCTTTTAGGGTTTCACACTTGTACCCAACTCTTCCATAGTTCATTCATTCCTGCTACTAGATTCTAACATGGTATCAGAGCACTAGGTCCGTAGGACCGTTTTTTTTTTCAGGCCCACCTATCGTTGCGGTTACCGCGTTACCCCACGTGTTGTCCTGCCTGCCTGCCTTGCCTTGCCTGCTTCGCCAGGTTCTTAGTCTCCCTTCGTCTACTGGTCTTCCGTTACAGCCTGGCTCACCGCTGCCTACTCCTTCTCCTTACACTGAGCAGACAGGGGGTCTTACTGAGCGTCGTGAGCCTGCGTCGCGTCCTGTCTCGCCTGTCCGTTCTGGTTGGTCCGGTCGTCGTGTTCCTCGTCCGCGTCAGCCCGACCTCGTAGTCCGTCGTCCTTCCTCTCCTTCGCAGCGTGATCCTCTGCCGTCTCCTCCTGCGTCTTCTCTGCCTGTCGTTGCGGACCCTGAGTCTGACCGGTTTCGTGCTGAGCACCCTACTGTCACGCGTCTACTAGCCACTGTTGTCACTGACCCGTCGTTTGAGTCTGCTGCTGCGTCTGCCTTAGTCACTGAGCTTGTTGACTTTGCTGCTGCCTGTCGTCTAGACTACGCCGCTAGTCTTGTTGCTGAGTCTGAGTCTGTCTGTCCTCCGTCCGTCGGGGGTGAGTGTGCTCTTGGCACGGACGTCCTTGAGGACAGGCAAGAGGACCTTGAGTGTCTTGCAGCCGCTGCCCCTCATCTCGTGTCCATGCTGCTTGCCCCTGAGGGAGACCCGGATGCTCCAGACATCCCGACCCCGCGCTCTTACGCTGAGGCGATAGCGGGTGAGTACTCCTCTCAGTGGCAGACAGCCATGGACGCAGAGATGGCATCCTGGAAGTCCACAGGCACTTACGTCGACGAGGTTCCCCCACCTGGGGCGAACATCGTCAGTGGCATGTGGATTTTCAAGGTGAAGCGGCCGCCGGGTTCTCCGCCTGTCTTCAAGGCGCGTTACGTTGCACGAGGTTTCAGTCAGCGAGAGGGAGTAGACTTCTTCCAGACCTTCTCCCCCACCCCGAAGATGACCACTCTTCGGGTGCTGCTGCACGTTGCCGCTCAGCGTGACTACGAGCTTCACTCTCTTGACTTCAGCACAGCCTTCTTACAGGGCAGCCTGCACGAGGAGATCTGGCTGCGCCGCCCACCTGGCTTCACTGGGTCGTTCCCTCCTGGTACCCAGTGGAGCCTCAGGCGGCCGGTCTACGGTCTCCGCCAGGCGCCACGTGAGTGGCACGACACACTGAGGACGACACTTGCGGCTCTTGGGTTTGCTCCGTCGACTGCTGACCCGTCGCTGTTTCTGTGCACCGACACTTCGCTGCCTCCGTTCTACATCCTCGTGTACGTCGACGACTTGGTCTTTGCCACTGCTGACACTGAGGCTCTCGCCCTGGTGAAGTCGGAGCTGCAGAAGAGACACACGTGCACAGACTTGGGTGAGCTGACAAGCTATCTTGGCTTGCGGATCACCCGGGACAGAGCACGCCGCACCATCACACTGACTCAGTCACACATGGTGCAGCAGGTCCTTCAGCGCTTCGGCTTCACCTGGTCCTCGGCACAGGCCACTCCTCTGGCTACAGGTCACTCGCTCTCAGCTCCACCTTCGGACGAGTGCGTAGAGCCGAGTGGTCCTTACCCAGAGCTAGTGGGCTGCCTCATGTACCTGATGACCTGCACTCGTCCTGACCTTGCGTACCCTCTTGGCCTTCTGGCTCGCTACGTGGCTCCTGGTCGCCACCGAAAGGTGCACATGGATGCTGCTAAGAGGGTACTACGCTACTTGTGCAGTACATCGGGCATGGGGCTCGTGCTTGGAGGACGGAGCGACGTTGTCCTCACCGGGCACTCAGACGCTTCTTGGGTTGACGATCAGGCTACGCAGCGGTCGTCACAGGGTTACACCTTCAGCCTTGGCTCTGGTTCAGTTTCTTGGCGTTCTACCCGCTCGTCTTCAGTTCTCAGCTCCAGTTGTGAGGTTGAGAGCTACGCCACAGCCATGGCTGCACAGGAGTTACGCTGGCTCACCTACCTGCTGACCGACTTGGGAGAGCGGCCTCGTTCTCCTCCAGTGCTGTACGTCGACAACAAGGCCGCCATTGCCTTGTGTCAGGAGCACAGACTGGAGCACAGAACGAAGCACATCGCTCTGCGTTACTTCCTGGCTCGAGAGTTGCAGCAGCGTGGTCAGCTTCGTCTTGCTCACGTGGCCACTCGGGCCAACACTGCTGATATATTCACCAAGGCGCTTCCGTCTGGTGATCATCAGCGTTTCTTCACTCTGTTAGGCCTTGTGCCCACGTTTCCTCACTTGCTGTAGCCTTTGCTTGTACTGTGATCTATATATATACCTGCATGCTTGCTCTGCTAGGTAGAGATCACTGTGCTGTTGTTTTTTGCATATATACCTCTGCATGTGAACTGGCCTTGTGGCCCTTTGCTTGTGCTCAGTGTGTGTGGTGACGTTGTGATCCACCCTGAGCTTGCTTTACTTCTCTTGACTGGTCTTGTGACCCCTTGCTCTCCCCCACTTTGCCTATGGGGGTGTGTCAAAGTATATACATGTTACATATGTGTAGGCTGTAGTGGGGTAGCCAATATGGAGTACAGCCCCTTTTAGGGTTTCACACTTGTACCCAACTCTTCCATAGTTCATTCATTCCTGCTACTAGATTCTAACAGTCCACGCGGCGACATCCGACTAGCTAGTGCATGTACAGGTGTCGAGCACCTAGGGAGCCAGAGATCGCGGGAACCAATTTCCCGCCGCGTTTAGGAATGTCGGTGTCGCCCACAGATCCAACCGCAGCTTCACGTCCACGCGGCGTAATCCGATCGGTCCCTTAGATGGCTAGTGAGGCGAATCCAATACCCTGGGAATGTCGGAGTCGACCTGCGGGATGACACGCGTGACTGCCCATGTCGATAACGGTTGCGCGGGAAAGCCGGCCGCTATGGCATTTCTGGAGAGTTGAACAAGTGATTGGTCTAGGCCACGTGGCTCTCGCCCAATCCACCGTGGAATGACCCCGGCGGGGGGCTCTTTGAGTGCAGAGCGGCGTGACACTAGACATGCACTGACGTTGGCGCGTCAGACACATAGCATAGCGGCGCACAAATAGAGGGCTGCGTGGAGCGCGGCAGGTGCGGAGTCGCTCGCAACCCCCCTCGTTGACCATGCGCAAGGTCCACATTCTGCCTGTCTGTTTGTGTTCCTTCCCTCGTATTGCGTGCGCTCTCTGGCACTTAGAATTCTCCCCACCCTCACTATCTTCACGTATCTATGTTACTCGAGCGCCGACTTAACGGTCTCGTCGGCACAGTGCGCGTCGACCTGGCACAGACGTACCAGGTCGGTGTTGAACTCGACGACCTGTCGTCGACGTCGCCGTAGGGTTCGAATAGATCTACCGACAGACCAACACGGCCCAACACCACCTTACTGAGTCGACGACGCATGGCCAGAGGATGGCCTAGTGCCCAACAGCCGCAACCCATCCCACCCCCTGCCGACTCTGTAGACGCATACATCAAAGCGCAGCTGGAACGACTCGAGCTCGCCGCTGAGTTAGAAGCACTTGAGAGGGAATTCGAAGAAGACGCCCGCGCGACGCATAGGGCGTACACCGCACCCGTGACTCAGTACCGTCTCTGGTGGTCCAACCTGTACCTCACACACGGCCGACCGTAGAGCAACACACGAGCGGCCACATGGCCGACGTCGACATGTCCGACGTTGGTCCAGCCACCGACCACAGTCCGTACTCTACCCCCGAAGAGACGCTGAAATTGCTATACGATCTTGACGTCGATTCAGATTCCCGAAGGGGAGTTCACCAAGGACATCCCCCAACCGCCGATAGGGGAGTTTACGAAGGCAGCAAATAAGTCGACCCCGACGCCAGATGGGCAGCCTGGACCTTCGTCGGTGCCGACCGGCCCTGAAAACCAGGGTGATGACGACGACGACGACGAAGAGAGCGACGACAAAAACGACGAGCGTCCTCCGCGTAGCACGAATCCGCGCACCTTGGAAGAACGCCTTAGGCGGGAGTTTGAATACATAGATGACATGCTCGAACAGGACGAGAAGGAAGACGAGCAGAACATGGCGGTGCCACGCGAACAGTGGAAGGCGACAGACTTCGTAGTGGACGACATGGTGTACGCCTGCATCGACGTGCTCGTCATGGACGCCCTACGCCACCTACAAACCTTGGAGAAAAAGAGCACGCTCAGGCTGTACACCGCGTTCATCTACCACTACAAGAGGTGGGCGGCGAAGATGCTGAAGCAAACACGCGATAAGCTTCCCCATGAGCACCAACTTAGGCACGTCGACGAGATCGGCCACTACATCCGCGACAACCAGAAAAGTAAATGGGACAACGAGGTCGATGTACGCCAGGAGTACATCTGGCTGCACGGCCCTAGGGTCACCGAAACCCGGCTGCGCGCCTACGTGAAGTGCATGAGCCGTGAGTGTAACCTCACTGCCGCGCCGACCGAGGAGGGGAACAATTCCACGCGAACCGCGCCTGTGCAATCGACAACGGTGCACACGATCCTCGGGCGCATAAAGGCATGCCAGATGGCGGCGAGGGTGGAGGCAACGTTGTACCGGGAGAAGGAGCTGGGCATCATGAGGGAGATCTCGGTGGTCAGATCGGAGGTGCGGTTCAACGTCCGCTCTAAGAACGAGAGGGACATCAAGTGAGTTGGTCGATACCTCAAAGCTCAGTCTTCATCACAGTGAAGTCGACGCCGTTTAATTACTCTACCCCGCGATATGTGTGCAGGAATTGCGTCGACCGTCGACGCGGCACCATTGGCGATACCTACACCGCCGAACAGTTCCGCCATATCATGATGAAGGTGCTGCCTACATGGGCGGCGGCGGCGTGGAACCCGCGGGCAACCACTCCTTCGCAAACGCTGTGGAGATTCCTGCTCGTCAAGGTGCTCACGCTACTCTCCCACCACTCTCTCCTGCGCGGCGCCAGCATCCCCGAGATCACGCTACCCAACGTCTTCTTGTACCGACTGGAGAGCACCTCGTCGGTGAACCCGGAGAACCAGCCGGTCGTCATGGTGATCGCCGCGCGTAACCTGAAGACTTCCAACGTTGGACTCGGCAGATGTGGACGACAAACAAGGTGTTTTGCAAGCGGAACGTGCACGCCGCACGCGCCGGAGGTGCACAGGAGCTCGCCATCGACGGGACGCCTCGCGCCGAGATCGCCGAGCTGGGACACTGGGATCTCGACAAGATGACGCGTGCTTACATCACAGCCATTCCCGTTGGGGTGGTGATGAGGAAGGCCGGCTACTCGGGTTTCAAGCAAGACTACTTCTTGGGTCGCAGCAGGGTCGAGCCCTCCGCCAAACTCCTGGGCATCCTCGCCGAGCACATCTTCCCCGGCGTGGATGCTATGCTGCGCGATGTATGTTAAGTGACGCCGACAATGCCATTACGTCGCCATGTCTTCGTTGGCTGCCCAACACCCTACTAACCCACATCACTTGCCGACTTGCAGGCGGAAACGCGTGCTGTCAAGGGGAGCGACGCGGACAAAGCCGCCGTGCACTTCTTGCGTACCCTCCTGATGTTCCGACGCATCGTCGCCGAGGACCTCGCGGTTAAGCTCGTCCGCACACCGTGGCACCCGTACGTCCAAGGTTCCAAGCTCTGTCGGATTGCCCTCTTCCAGCACTGGGCGAAAAGGGTCGAGGCAGTCGACACCGAGACGATAAAAAAGCGCCGAGACCCGACCCAGATTCAGCCAGAGGTGAGATGACGACAATGTCGGCGCCGTTCTGCTACCAGTGAATACTAAACTCATTTCGCCTTTCCGCCTACCACTGCAGGAAATCTCCGTCCGCATGGACACCCAGTATCATAACATGTCCCTCAAGGAGACGCTGAAGTACGAGATGGAGCGCTCCGCGGTCGAGAAGATCGACCTTCAGGAGAAGATCGAGATGCGCGACGATACCATCGCGACGCTGACCGCCAAGCTTGCTCGACTCACCGAGGCACTCCGTGTGTCAGAAGCACGGAGGATGCCGGCGGCGCCGCCGTCGGTGAACGAGCAAGCGCCGAGCGAGGGAGGCTCAGCGGATTCGGCCAATACGGGGGCCGGAGCCAAGGAAGGGGATGATAAACCCCCGAAACCCCCACAGACGGTCGACGAGGCTCGTTACGAGCTCAACGTGGTGAAACCCTGGCGAGAGGCAAAGACCGTGAGGGACGCTTGGCGGCTCTGGAACTCCGCCACCGCCGATGACACCCGTCGTGTTTGCGACAGGGTCTTCGAGCCGGGATTCGTCGACCGCCACACCCTCCTCGAAGGCGCGACGCAGGGTGCACACGACATGAAGGTGCGCCGCATGCTGAAGGCCATGGATGCAGTGCGCCTTCTTTGCTCGAGCGACGGCGATGCCGACACCGAAGCCGTCGTCGCTGCACTGAACAGGATCGCGGCGCCGGGCATTGGGACCTTCTGCGATGCCCTCACGGTGCTCAAACCGGAAACGGCACCGACGAAGTCCAAGGAGCCTGGCCTGGGCGTCAAGGGGCCGGGCCCCAAGGTGGTCTCGAAGCTACGTGTCGCCTGTGCGCTGGTCGCGCTCGACCTGAGGCCGAGGACTTGGGTCACCCGCCTGTTTCCAGACACCTGGGAGGAGCAGATGCCGAATACCGTGGCCGACTTGGCCAAGCAGACCGCACCTGCGCAGCGTCCTCCGACAAAGCGCAAGAAGTCGGCATGAAGACCTTTGGAGCATATGCGTTTGCGTAGGTCGTTGATGCTCTAATTGTTGTCGATTTAAACAAACCATACTGCTTTTATTGTTCAGGAAGTTGTTGAAACAACACAACCCTAAGGCACATAACACGGCCCATGCTAACCTAGATGATCCAACCCGAGTATACCTGCGTAGAGCCACACCCTCAATGTCGACAGCCACCGCACGACGCCGATGTGTTGACGGACTCCGACCTATACGCCGGGAATTATGCGAGTGCGCAGTTCTGAGGGTAGTGATGTGGTCGACATCGCCGAAGTTGTTGACGGACTCCGTCATATACGCCGACAAGGTTCATCGCCGGGTAGCATGTTAGTGTGCAAATGTGTGGGTAGTGATCAGGTCGACATCACCGACAAGGGTTCTAGTTACATGCACTACCAAAAAGTTACATGCACAACCACACAAGCAAACAAAAACAGAAATGAACTACGCAATCGGCGCCGCCCAGACAAACGAGATTATACACCCTACCGCTCGCTCCGCGAGCCGTCTACGCCGCCGTGCTGTCCTTGCCCTTCCTGCCCTTCTTCCCCTTCTTCCCCGTGCTGCTCTTGCCCTGCTTGCCCCTCTGCCCCTTCCTCCCCCTCTCTTTAAAGTCGTGCTCCATCTGCGCGTCACACGGCACCGCGATGCCGGTCTCTTCCAGTTTCGGCCCGGCGACGGGGCACATTCCCCAGAACGCCATGGTCTCCACCATCGCTCTAGCCATCACGGCGGCTTCGACTTTGACCTCCACCCCCGGATAGGCCCTTTGCAGAGCGGAACTCTGCAGCGCCGGCGCGACGTTGTGCGCAACCTCCCCGAGGGGTTGCTCCCTGTCGATCTTGACATCCAGCACCGCCTGCATGACCTTCAAGAAGACATCGGCGGTCATCTCGCTCGCACCGACCACCATCGCCGCCGCCTTCCCTTTGCCCACAGCATCGACCACCTCGGCGTCGTCGTTCTCGACTAAGCACCACACGGCGCAAGCGGAGGCCGACCACGCTTGTGCCGTCATCTCCGTCTCTCATCCGTGTCTCCCTCCTTCCTTGCCGCGCTCGCAGCGACCTTCCCATACGCAGCGCACATGGACACGCGGGCAATCATGGCCGACATCATAGCATCCGCCTTCTCCTGGCCTTCCTTCGTGTCGGCGACGACGGGGAACCAGATCGCCGGCAAGAGCGCGTCGTGGTGCGCATCTCCTGAGCTCTTGCACGCTCGATATTTGTCGAGAATATCATCGAACATGTCACGCAATCACACGAAATCGGGCGACCATTAGTGACTCCAATATAGTCATCATCATTCGGCGGACCACAACGCCGACTTACCGTGTTTTTGGAAGGTACGCGCCCCGTGCCCATATCACCGTCCACATCCCTGTCGGCAGGATCTTCACCTCCTCCTACACGTTCCTCCACTTCTCCATATCGGTTTCGGGCAAGTCGGTGAGCTCGTCCATGAGGATCTTGCTGACGTAACCGTCGTACACGATGTACGCAATCGAGTGCAGGTACGCCACCTCTGTGAACTCGCGCGACTTGCCGATGTATCGATTCAAGCCGAGCACCTTAATCTCGCCCACCCACCCTTGCCCGTCGCCTGAGCTGTCGTGGCGGATGCCATGACCCTTCCGTCCTTTCTCCTTCTCCTCCTTCTCCTTCTCCTTCTCCTCCTTCTCCTCCTCCTCCTCCTCCTTCTCCTTCTCCTTCTCCGCCGCCTTCTCCGCCTTCTCCTTCCCTTTCTTCGCCGACGTACCCTCGCCGATCGACTTCTCCTTCCCTTTCTCCGCCGACTTCTCCTTTGATTTCTCCTCCGCCTTCTCCTTTGATTTCTCCTCCGCCTTCTCCTTCGTCGCCGACGTCGCCCGTGTTTTCCTCTGAGAGCTCGCCCTCCCTTTCCCTGTGTCGGCCTTCCCCTTTCGTTTCGACTTTCCCTCGCCGACAGCCTCGGTGGTCGTCTTTGGCTCCGCTGAACCACCGGGGGGACTCGCCGAGGGCTCCACATGCGCCATGTCAGAGATGGCCAGAGCAAGGGGGGGGGGGGGGGGGGGGGGGGGGGGGGCGGGGCGTTTTACCGCTTCCAACAGGTCATGTATGGCAGTGATTTCGGCGTCGTTTTGGCCTTTCGCCGCCTGTGCAGGGGCAACGGCTCCGCCGGTGGCTAGCGCTGCCCTCACGCCCTTCTCCGCCGCCGCATCGACAACAGCTGCACCGGGTGTGGGTGCAGCCACGTTTACCGACGTCGGCGTCGCGCTTGAGCCGGCTTCCGGCTGAGTCCGTGTTGGCGCTGCCGCACTACGTGCGCCTAACCGGGCGCGAAGCAATGCGGACTTTGGGTCCGCTGGAGGACGGTCGGCGAGCAGAGGCGCTGTAGGTGGGGCTATGGATGCTGAGGCGGCGACATGCGGAGTGACCGAAGGACGTGCAGTTTCGGCGGGGGCGGCGTCGACCAAGGGAGGCTGCTGCACGTCCCGGCGATGGGCCTCCATGCGGTGGAGCATTTCCCTGAGCGCGTTCGCCGCTGCGGGCTCCTTAGTGGCATCCTTCGCGTCGCCCTTGGCGGCAGACGGGCCTGCTGGAGCTGGAGTAGCCGCAAGGGCCGGCCCATCGTTGTTGGCGGCTGACGGGCCGACAGGCGCGCTGCTAGCCGCAGGGGGTTTACGGGGAATCGACGTGGTCCCCGCCACCTCGACAGACGGTCCCTTGACGGTTCTGGCGCCGCCATCTTTCGCCGTCTGAGCGGGTGGGATCTCCTTGTCGGCGACCAAGGGCGAGGCTGTTGGTCCATCGTCTTGAGCGGCAACCTCGTCGGCAGGGCCCCCATCTGCACTCCCGATTCCATCGCCCTTGCTGTGCGACCTTATCACCTTGGCCCCGTTCTTCTTGAGCTGGTCGACCACGCTCTGACCTCCAGTCCGCGAGCCGCCTGGCCCCACCTTGCTCCGCTTCACGCTCGTCGCGTCCTCTCCGCCGCCCGCCCTTTTCTGGCCCTGCTTGTCGGCCTCCCTTCGCGCCGCGGGATCGGCGTCATTGGCCGACGGCGACGACCCACGCCGACCAGCCACCACATTGCCGATCACCTCGGTCATGAGCTTTAACTCGGACGCAACAAACGACTGCTGTGTGGCCTCCGTCACCGCCTTCAACACTTCCGCCTTGAACGACTTCATCTGCTCGTCCGGGAAGGCGGGCGTGGGCTACGGCGGCGGCGGCGGCGGCACGGCGATGTTGCGAGTTACCGCGGCGGCAATTTTTGGTCTGCGCGGCGGCTAGGTGCTTCGAGATGTAGTCCTCCAAACCCAGCTTCGCACCGTCCACCACCGCTTCCACGTGGTCGGCCAGGGTGTTGACCGCCTTCGCACGTTCCACTGCCATAAACCCCTCCGGATCGTCGAGTTCGTCCAACCACTTCGTCGTCTTTACGGCGTATTACTTCATCGCCTCCCATGCGTCGCCCATGTTGGCGGTGATGTTGTCCGTGACGGTTGTCGACATGGACAAGGTCGCGTCTAGCAGCCGACTCGCCGCCTTCTGGTCGGAGACGGCGACCTGGTCGGCCAACTTCTTGAGCTTGTCCATCAGTGCACGTGCCCCCAACGCAAAACTGTCCACCCGACCCTTCTCCTCTCCGAGCGCCTTCTTCAAACGGGCATTTTTTGCCGTCAACCGTCTGTTCTCTTGTCGCAGCTGCTCGACGACGTCCAGCGGTGTCTGCAGAGCAGATGCGGAGGAACCGGGATGACCGCGCGCCGCCTTCTTCTTCCTTGACCGCTCCCCCACGGCCTTCCCTGCGGTGGCCTCGGTAGGCCCTTCCACGCCCGTCTGCTTCGTGGCTGCGGCGGCATCCCCCTCTCCACCGGCCTCGAGGTCGATAACTTCCTTCGCGTGGGGATCCACATCGCCGACCACGACCTTCTCACTCCCCCCGTGCGCCGCCTCCACGCCGACTTTCTCCCCGTCGGCAGCCTCCCCTCCCTCGTTCACATCCGCCGACCTCCCACCCCCCCCCCCCCCCCCGTGAGCCGCCTCCACGCCGACTTTCTCCTCGTCGGCAGCCTCCCCTCCCTCGTTCACATCCGTCGACCTCCCACCCCCCTCGTGAGCCGCCTCCACGCCGACTTTCTCCTCGTCGGCAGCCTCCCCTCCCTCGTTCACAACATCCGCCGACCTCCCACCCGTTTCCGTCGCTCCCTCCATGACCTCCCACTCCATGACCTCCCACTCGACCTCTTCCTCCTGCTCCCCCTCTTTCTGCTTCGCCGCCTCCTCCACCTCCTCCTCCTCCTCCTTCGTCGCCGAGCCCCCCCCCCTCCTCCTCCTCCTCCTCCTCCTCCTCCTCCTCCTCCTCCTCCTCCTCCTCCTCCTCCTCCTCCTCCTCACGATCCTCATGGTCCCCCTCTTCCTGATCCTCGTTATCATCCTCCTCTTCCTGATCCTCGTTATCATCCTGGTGCTTCTCCGCGGTCTCAGTCACCGCCCTTCCTGCCTCCTCATCTTCCTTGTCGACGCCGCCGACGGGCTCGCCGATCGAAGTCCCACGCGCATCATCGACGGGGTGGACGATGCCTACTGCTTTGGATGCCGACGGGGGCTCCTCGCCGTCGTCGTCACAGGCGTCGGCAGCAACTCCGACATGGCCCGACCGTTTCAAAGCGACGTGCTCCTTGATGAAGGTTATCATCGCACTCCGCAGCCCCTTCAACCCCGAGACGTTGACCTTGTCCATGCTGGTCGCACTGCGACGGAGGGCGCCGGTCAGGAGATCCATTCTCCTCACCACCCAGCACAACCCGCTCATTGCTAGCATGCCAAAGTCCACGCTCCCGTCCTGGACGACGGCGGGCACTTTCTGCATTCAACGGTTCAGAGCGCAAGGATGAGCATCGAGCAAGGATGTCACACGATAGGACGGTAAATCGTTCGGAACTCACATCTCGAAGGGGTTCATCGCAGTCGGCGAGCCTGTCCTCGACCTCTTCATCGGAAGGCTTCGGCCACTCCCACATCCTACCGTCGCGGCCCAGCTCGGCCAGTACCGCCGCCCGGAAAAACCTGAAGCAACAATGGCACAGATAGTCGGTAAGCATGGTTTACGCTGCGCGGCGAAATGGCATGCGTCGTCGACTACACTATCGAGCTCACTTCAGCACGCGGATTGCCTCGTCGCGGTGCCACTACTTCACGGTCTGCGGGTCCAGGTGCCGGATCGACGTCCTGATCTTCTCCCCCCCGGCCTTCAACAAGTCGCCGGGGTAAATGATGACAACGACACTGCATTGTGCTCCTGGAAGCGGTGCGATGCTGCACAGGCAAGGCACGACGACGTCGTTCAGAACAGAGCACCGACATAGGATGCATGGCACACCTTGACGACGTCGAACCAGCTCACCTCGAATGCAGGGGGATAACCGCTACGTCGGCGTCGAAAACCGTCGCAAAGCATGTGTGGTCGTCCTGACCCATCGCCGCCCGAAGCCGACCGAGTCCTATCGACCACAATCGCATCTTGGTCTGCGCCGCGCGAGTCCATGCGTGCCTGCACGCCGACATGGGTATTAGAAGGGGGTGAGGAGGTGCAACCCTGTGCCGGCACCGACCTACCGGTGAAATAGGGGTTCAAGGTAAGCCGGAATCGTAAAGTCGGCGTCAACCTGAAGTGAACTAAACCCTAACCTCGTAGCGCCGCCGTAGACGTGGGACAACCCTAACAACGACGTTGTGTCGACCAGCAAGGACACCATAGGTCGACGCCGACATCACCATACGAAGACTCACTTAAGGCCGAATCCCAAGCAACGGGCGTTAAACTCTAGCCTATGGTCTACGAGGACGGCGTAGTCGTGCTCCTCGAACTTGGAAGTGAGCCCTCTACCCAGGTCGAGATACAGAGGGAAGTCCTGCGAAGTCGGCGCCGCTTCGCCCGCTTTCGGGTCGGCCGCCATGGCGGGGAAAGGAATTGGGAGTAAGGCGCAGAGTTGGGGAAAGAAATGGAAAGAGAAACGAGATGCCGAAAATGAGGAGCGATGCCTCCTTCCACCAAGAAAAGGGGGTCGGTGCCACACAGGCCCGGTTGAGGCATCGCCCAGGGTTCGTGGTGCCTAGCTCGGCAGGGATTGGCGGGCTGCATGCACAAGTGGCACAAGTGCTCCTTCGCCGCCGGGCCAGCACGTCGACATCGCGTCCCCAGGCTTCGCTCGGCGAGGGGACGCAATTTCGCATGCGCGCGGTGCCCCGTTCCGGCCGACACGTGTCGATTTCGCAGCGGATCGCGAAAACCGTGCGCCGCGGTGCGAGCGATTCAATTTCGCATGGTTCTCAATTTCACATGCACCCGATGCGAGCCCGCGTGCGAACACGTGGCGTCACCGCAACGGGTCGCGAAATTGTCGAGCGTCCCGAGGGGAGCCCCCGAATTTCGCATGGGCCTCGCCTGCCCGTCCGGGCAGGCCGCGATGGGTTACTAGGACGTCGCGGGCAGGAGGGAGGGGTGGGCTGCCTTCGCGCTAGGGTTACTTCCCTTCGCGCGAGGGGTCGCCAGCTCGCCGCCCCCACCAGGTAACGTGGGGTGCTGTTCGATTACGCGGGGGGGTTGCGGGGCGGCGGTCGTGCGCTCGGCCCCGCCCTGGGCCAGGCTGGCGGGCCCGCATGCGCGTCAGTTGCCCGCCTCGTCAGCCCCGGCTCCGACGACCCCCTCTGACGACCCAGGCAAGTCGGTTCTGACGACCGATTTGCGCTGGGATGTTCGGCATGAAATGGAAACTCTGATTATTTCTGACAATTGGCCCTGACAACGCATACATTGACCTTGACAAATTGCTCTTCTAGGCCCACCTACTTATGGTACTGGCATCTACCCACTAGTGGCCTGAGATTGTGCGGACGACATTAGTGGGCAGGCTATACAGTACTAATGTCGTCCGCACAGCACAATCACTGTCCAAGTCATTCCTGGCAAGACTGCACAAGAGTGTGCGGATGCGACATCAGCGTCGTTTGTGTTACAGTATCGCAGCTTGCTCGACCTGCCTATCAGACTGCTTATCACTACAGACAGCATCCCGTGAAAGGACGAGGAAGGTACTACACACAACGCATGACAGCGGCGGCGGCCACTGGACTGGACGCGAATCGTGTTTGCAGCAACGCGCCGCTGCGCGTGCGTACAGTAAGAATGAAGCACGTGCGAGAAACACTTATTGGAGTTCTCTTGATTGCTACACTCAATGACTCAGACAGACTTCGGCCCAAAGTCTATGCCAGGTGGCGGTACCCAATCCAAGCTTTATACACTACTGTAAGAGAGTTTACACCAAGAGGTTTGTATCCTTTGACGGGTGAGTCGAGATCCTCAAGTTGCTTCCCCGTCCTCCCTGCGGAGATAACTATTGCAACGGGAGCTAGACTACGGGCTAGGCACGGATGCTCGTGTGATCTCTGCGTTCGTTCCTTCCTTAGTCGTTTCCAAGTGCTAACACTACTTGCTAGTTCACGGGGAAAATTGGCAAGAGTTTCACTAGGAAAACATGACAACAAAAGTTCAGATTGATAGCATCAACATTGGCAACACAGACTACATCAGACCTAGCAAGGCTGCTGGTCGACTGCCAGCGCAGCACGGTCGACCGCGCTCCAGCAGAGCAGAGTCGCGGCTTGCCAATGTTGCAAGTCCGCGGTGTGCCAACGCTGCAGTAATTCGGCTGCACAGCGTTGCACCCGCCTGACAATGGTGCACCAGCTTCGCAGGTGCGTGCAGCTAGTTGGCGCCCAACTCCCCGTCACATGTCCAGCGCAGACACTCCACCCGTGACGGCGCCCACCAGCCACGTCGACCTCGGGATACCACCCCCGAGGTCGTCCTCGCAGAAAACACCCTCGCGACTTTCGTGCACATCGCCCGGGTATCCTGGTTGACAGGGTATTTCGCGGTCCCCGCGGTCCTCCCGCGGTTTCGCGGCCCCCGTGGTCCGCCCACGATTTCGTGCCCCCCGTGGTCCGCCCACGGTTTCGTAGCCCCCGTGGTCCGCCCACGATTTCGTGGCCCCCGCGGTCCTCCCGCGGTTTCGCGGCCCCCGTGGTCCACCCACGGTTTCGCGGCCCCCGTGGTCCGCCCACGGTTTCGCGGCCCCCGCGGTCGGCTCCGCCCAAGCGAGGACGGGGCCAAACACTACTCCCGTTGACACTCCCTTCCTTCTTCCGTTCCCCCTCCCTCCTCTCCCCCCTCTGTATATTCTGCGAGGGGTGGGGCTCTGCTTCCCGAGCGAGTCACGACGACAAGACTCCACAACCCTAGTGAAAGAGTCCGACTTCCAATAGCATCCGACAAATTCTTTCTAGTCCAGACTGGCGAGTCCGGCTGGCCACTAAGCTTGCCGTGACAAGTCGGAGATTAGCATGTGTCGTACGCTGCAGTGCTGGGAAATGAACAAGAGCGGGATTTTCGTTCACGGTGCAGGCAGCCTAAGCGAGTTGCTTCGCAGGCAAGCGAATTGCATGGCCTCCCTATCACGAATGGCCTCCCTTATCAACAACGACCGTATTGTACTCAAGCACGCGAGCAATGGGCGGTGGCGCATGTCCCGCAGTCTACAAAATCTTATTCTCCTTCTCACGCCAGACAGAGAAATGAACGTTCTTTCAACGAGCAAAATCACTGTCAACACTCCTACCAGAGAGTAGAAGTACGACTACTGCTGCTATTGCCACTTCTAGTGCTATACTTACAGTAACAGGAATTGTAGTACTACTACTATATTGGTCGGTCACGTTGTGATCAGACAAGCCTTGCACCCCCATTTACCAGCTTACTGCTTGCACTACTACAACCTAACCGGCATTTCCTGGGACAACAACAGCGACTAACGTCTGCCACAATGGCTATCGCTTCTGAGTTAGGCACGAGTCGACTCTTGGAGTGTCCTCAGCAGGAGACGCATAACCGTCAGCTCTCTGAGCATTCGGCGGCTAGCCGTCAACCCTCTGAGAATGAGTCGGCCGGCAGCCGTGAGGCGTGCGAGCAGGAGTTGGTGCGGCGGCGCGGGTTGGAGGCGATGGTGGCACAGGTGGTGGGGTGCGATGGGCACAGCTGGCTCAAATACGGCCAGAAGCAATTCAAGGGCTCCACCGCCACCAGGTCAGCCTCGTTGACTTCCATTGACTCTCGTTGACTTTCCTTGCTTGAGCTCCTGTTGACTCCCTAGGTCAGCTTCGTCGGTCCATGACTATCAGTGAATCAAATGTGATGTCATGTGCGTGCAGAATTCGCGTCTCGCCCGTGCCATGCTGCTCTTGTGTGGGAGTCTTCACTCATTCTCCTCCGCACCGTCCCCTCCCCTTTCTCCTTCCTCCTCCACTTCTTCCCCCGCATCACAGGTGCTACTACAGGTGCGCTCGCATCAAATCCATACCGCGCTGCCCGGCCAAGAAGACAGTTGACATCAGCTGCAGCAACCGCAACGAACCGCTCTCCCCCGACGCCATGCAAGTCACCTACCGCTGCACGCTCCACAACCACCCCTTGCCTCCCCGCCCCCCCTTGCTCCCCCTCCGCCGCCCGCCCACGCGCCACGTCTTCCCCCGTAACCATCCCACCAAGTGCTTCAACAAGCGCCCTGCCTACCGCCCTAGTGATCACCCCAATCACCCTAACAAGAGGGCTGCTTACAGCCCTGAAGACCTTCCCACCGGCCATGCCACTGACCAGCATTTCAACCTCGCGGATTCATGCGTTGGGGAAGGCGATACTCCGTCCAACGCCGATCGACCTGCGGAATTCGGTGGCGGTTTGAACGCCTTGGCGAGTGAGAGCGATTTTGGTGCAGCTCTGAACGGCGCGGCTGTTGATTCTGGTGGCGCTCTGAGCGTCCTGCTGCCTGAATTGCAGAATGGGAGCGTGGAAGTGAGTGCTGCTGATACTGCCGCCGCCGCCGCTGCTGCTGCTGCTGGTGCTGGTGGTGCTGCTGATGGTGCTGTTGATTATGCGGATTGGGCTGCAGAAGCCCTTTTACACTCTCCCTGTCAGCAGGAGCAGTTACCCGAGTATAGCTCCCTGCCTGTGTGGGACCTCCCCCCACTCTCTCCCCTGCCGACCCTCCTCCACTCATCCCCTCCGTGGCTGGAGGAGCTTATCCCCGTTAATGCCTGCTCCACTGACCTCAACACTGTTGACTCAGCGAGGCCTACAGTGTCTCTCGAACAACTGCGTGTGGCTCTCGGGTGTCAGACCCTGGAAGAAGTTCACAGCCGTCGATTGGATGGCGAGGACTCGGACGATCCGACGGACGAGATTAACTCTCTGCTGGGAGCAACATCGCCTACGCACCAAGGCAACCAAGAGCTGTCGTCACTGCGCTGCAGTGCTGCTACCAACCACGCAGGTCACACGGGGCTTCTACCGGAATATCTTGACGGGGAAGTGACTGAGGAGGAGCAGACCGCACATGGTGTGGGGAGAAATGGGGAGAATTTCTTCCTTGGTTTCCGTTGCGACGGGGAGGAAGGGTCGGTGCACGGCCCTTCAGAGGCGAGCCTGGAGGCACTGATGGGGTCAGTTCTGCCGCACGCTGCTGCGGTGGGTGCTGCTGTATCTGACGATCCTGGCTTTCAAGCCCACCAAGATGTGCCAGTGCCACCTGTAACAGCCACCATGCGTCACACGTTCGTGAATGGGCAGAAACGGTCAGCCTCTGTGATGGATGCACCACTACCTATTTCATGTGTCTGTGCCCAAGCCTGTGCCCAAGCCTGTGCCCAAGCCTGTGCTGGTGTGGATCCTGGGATACTGGCTGCATTGCAGAGTCTGCATACCTGGAGCAGCAATGTCACGGCCGCTTGTGGTACAAGTTACCATTCATGCAGCACAGATTTCAATACAAGCAGCACGGGTTACATATCCCAGCACAAAAGCCACATGGGGAGTGACGTGAAAAGCAGCGAGCAGCACTCCCCTTCTCTGTGCGTTGGAGAGGCTGATGAGGTGGGACTGGAGCAGCAGCAGCAGCAGCAGGATTCGCTTGTGCCGTCAATGTGCAAAGTTCCTCCATCTCAGCTCGCATTATTGCCCACCGCACCTGAGCAAGAAGTGCCTGGGCCTTTGGCAGCAGCAGTGTTTGCGTTCCTGGGGGGGAGCAGCAGCACCCGGGTTTCAGACTTTGCAGCCGCTGACGTGCGGAAAGAGATGCAGTCGTGGCTCGAAGGTGCAGCATAAGAAGGATGTTTTGTTTTCCCACATTGTGTGGCGAGGTGACCTTCAGTCTGTTGTTTTTTTTTCTCGTCGAGGCCAAATGGCAACATAAAACTGTTTCAAGTTCAGTATTTTTGAAGCCTTGCTATTCTAGACTCGGGCTTTAACCTCCCACCACAAACAGCAAGCCATTATCACCAATAAAAACAGAATTACGATTTACTGTACCATAAAAATGAGATGCAACTAGGAATTTATAACAAACTTGGCTCAATTCAAGCCTCTGGACCGGACCACTAGCTTTGGGTCAAGCTCAAGCATCCTATCATGCAGCTAGCTCTACAAACAACAATAATAATAAGATCTTCTAAGCGAACGTTTAGCAAGTTTTAAGCATCTGAGAAAGTGAATCCTGTAGTCTTCAGGAAGTTATTACCAAAGAGCTAGAAACGAGGCACCGAACCGAAGAGTTCACTACAGCACCGATCTTCCATAAAGTCTTGCATCCATGTTTGACACCCTCTGGGATATCAGAGCAGAATCACCAGTAGGATCGGAATGGAGCAAGGGACAAATCACTATCAACAATGAAAGAAAGAAATGGAAAGAAAAGAAAAGGACCCACTGCAAGGGCTGGAGATAGCTCACCTAGACAACAGAGTCGCTTCTCAAGCACCTCCGAATCACGACTTCCCGCCGCCCACTCGAAGCAGCATGCTGGGAAACCTCCACTTGTGCTTCAAGTCCTTCACCTTCTCCCCTCCCGCTCTCTCTCCCGGCTCCTCGGGCACCTTTGAAAGTTTCTTTACGCCCTCCGGTCCGCTGCCTGCTTGCCCTGCACCGTTATCCACCTTTCGCTCCTTGCTGAAAGCCGACCCCCCGAACAAATCCCGGCCGGGAGACGCGGGGATCCGAGCGAACGTGGAGGAAACGAGGGAGTGCGTGGGGGAGGGGGGTACGAGGCCAAACCGTGCGGGTGACGGCGGGGTGGAGTAGGAGAGTCTAGAAGAGGAGTGAGAGAGGGCAGCAGGAGAGCCCTTGCTGCTGCTCTGGGCCGGGGAGGCCTTGGCAGAGGGAACAGCGGAGCGGGGGTGGCGGGGAGTGACACCCGCCTGTGCTGTGAGGTGGGAGGTGTGAGGAGAGTGGTGGGAGGAGGTGTGCGAGGGGGACTTGGAGCTGCGGCGGGACCGCAGGGGAAGAACTTCCTCGTCCTCGGGAATAGGTGCTGGCATCTGCTGCTGTTGCTGCTGCTGGTGGGTTGGCTGCGGGTGAGAGAGGCGAGCCGGGAGGGAGGTGTCACGGACGAGAGGCAGAGGCAGAGAGGAGTCGCGCACAAGGGGCATGCCACCTTGCGGAGAGTCGCGCACAAGGGGCATGCCACCTTGCGAGGGGTCACGCACAAGAGGCGCACCGTCTCTGAGGCGGTCGATGCGCGACTGGTCATAGTCCTTCATGCGATGGCGTATGGACGAGGCTGTGGTGACGCACGGCGTGCATGCAGCAGCAGGCGAGGTGGTAGCCGAGACAGCAGGTGAGACAGAAGAGGCGGCAGGCGCAGAAGGAGCTGGTGTAGAGGCGGTGCGAACGAGTGGGGCATCTGAAGAGATAGAGGTATGGGAGACGGAACGGCGGGGACGTGCCGGGGTGGGCGCCCTGTGCTCCCTGGGGGCTGCTGCATTGGGGAGAGAAAGGGTGGGGGAGGAACGGACGGGAGGAAAGAAAGAGGGGGGAACAAGGTGAGAACCCGAAAAAAAAAAAACAGATTGAGGATGTGTGCAGAGCCATGAGCACACTACCATGCATCTCACCTGCTTCATCGCAACTCTCTGTCTCATGGTCACTCCAACCACCACCAGCAGCACCAGCAGCACCACCAGCTTCCCGACTCCCGCCCCTGCCACCCCTGCCCGGAGACAAAAGTTCCCTGCCCGGAGAAGCAACATTCTTCCTCCCGGGAGACACCATGCCTGCCCCTGCCCGGCCCGAAATCAATCCCCTCGGCGAAATCATGCCACTCTTGACAGACGCAGGGGAAGGGGAGAAGCCCGAGAAAGCAGCGGAAGCAGAGCCTCTACCAGGGGAGGGGGAGGACGCGGACGTGATGGAAGAGGATGAAGAGGAGGAAGGGTGGGTTTTACTGGGGGAGGGAGAGCCTCTCCCAGGGGAAGTGGAGCGGGCGGGGACGCCGCTGCGGCTGATGAGGGGGGCGCGGTGGTCGTCTGTGTGCATGCGCACTGCTACCTGCTCCACTCCCACCCCTGGCACCAGCAGCAGCGCCACTGCTGCAAAGGACACACGTGGGATGAGCCTCCTCCCCTCTGCCTCCTGCTCCTGCTGCTGCTGACCTTGCTGCTGGCCCTGCTGCCCCTGCTGGCCCTGCTGCCCCTGCTGGCCCTGCGGCTGCTGTGGTTGCTGCTCACTGTGACGCCGAGCAAAGCGGGAAGGACTCCCAGGTTTCTTGAGAGCCCCCTTGCGGACCTTGGGAGCGGTCGCTGCTGCTGCACCCACTGCTGCTACTGCTCCAGTGGCAGCAGTGGTGGCAGTGAATGCTAGAGGGTTGCGCAACACAGGGAGCGAGGCGGATTTACCAGCAGCGGTTAGGGAAACGCCATCAGCAGACGGATCACTGCCACTCTCACTCGCGCTACTGCTGCTGCTGCCACCACTGCCGCTACTGCTACTCCCACTGCCACTCCCACTGCCGCTGCCGCTGCTGCTGCCGCTGCCACTGCTGCTGCTGTTGCTGTTGCTGCTGCTCCTGCCCTTCCTCCCCGCCGCCGCTGCTGCCACTGCCTCGGCACGTGCCTGTGCCTTGAGTCGATCCAACATGCTCAGACCCTGCATCTGCTGGGCTGCTCCTGTGCTGGACTGCTGGACTGTGCCTGCTGTGTCTGCTGCGACCACTGGGCTGTCCGCCGCTGCCCGCCTCCCGCCATCTGCTGCAGGTACTGCAGCACTCGGCACCTCCTTCTCCGCTCCCGCACTCTCCACTCCCCCTTGCTGCTGTTGGCTTGTCCCTTGCACCACCCGAACTTCGTCCTGTGATGCTTTCACTACGCTGACTGCGCTGCTAGCGGTGTCATCACCACCAGCAACAGCAACAGCAACAGCGACAGCAGTAACAGAAACAGCAGGAGCTGAAGCAGGAGGAGTGGCAGGAAGAGAAGAGACCTTGTCAGGAGTGGTCTTGGAAGCAGGCGGTGGGGTGGAAGGAGCAGCATTCACATCACCTGCTGAAGTCACCACAGGGGCAGTAACCGGTGCAATCGCACAAGGCTGAGCAGCATCAGCAGTCCCAGCAGGGGCGGCAGGCAGGCCAATGCTAGTGAATTCCGAGTGCATGCACGGCAGCAGCGCCACCGGCATGCCAAACTGCTCCTCACCTTCTCCTGCTGCGGCGTCTCCCACTCCTGACCCCGCTCCTGCCACTTCTGTGCCCACAGCAGCAGCAACACCAACCTCTTCCCCCCCATCAACCACCACGGCCTGAATCACAGGCTCCACAAGGCTCTGTGTGACAGGGTCCAGTACAGGCGCTAGAGCCGCGCTGGGCTTGCCTCCCTTCGTCCCTGCTCCTCCTGCCGGCTTTGCTGCTCTGCTGCTCTTGCCGCTGCTTCCCTTGCCGCTGCTGCTCTTTCCACTGCTGCTTTTGCCGGTGCTGCCGGTGCTGCCAGTGGTGCCTCGGCTCTTACTCTTGCTCTTGCTCCCACTGGTAGCCCCACCACTCCGTGCCACGCCTGCCGAACCGCTGCCGGACCTGGCGCTGCCGCTGCTGATCTTGCTTCCGGACCTGCTGCGGTTGCCGGACCTGCTGCCGCTACCGGACCTGGTGAGCTTCACCCCTTCAGGCTTGGTGCCGGGTGTGGCAGTCTGCTCGCTCTTCTGACTCTTCTGCTCTTTCGCCTTGGCCTTTCCAGTGCTGCTGCTGTTGCCAGTGGCAATGCTGACCCCTGCCTTCTCACTGCCTCCGCCTGCTACTTCTCCTCCTGCACCTGCTGCTGCTGCTGTCCCACTGGCAGCCAGGTTCTTGCAAGCCCCACTGGGCGATTCAAGCTCTATCTCACTTCCACTCTCGCTCCCACTCCCACTCCCACTCCCACTAGCACTCCCTTCCCCACTCTTGCTTCCACTCCCTGACCCGCTGCTGCTGCCAGCACCACTGCTGCTGTAACTGCCACTACCACTGCCACTGCCGCTACCGCCACTGCTGCTGCCGCCACTGCTGGCGTCACTGGTGCTCCCACCACTACTACTGCTGGTGTCAGCAGCATCAGCCCGCTCATTGCTCTCATAACTCCTCACTGTCACTCGGTCCTCTGATGAGTGCGACGAAGACTGAGAGCACGACTGGCACGTTGAACTCTCCTCCTCCTCCTCCTCCTCCTCCTCCCCTTCCACCCATCCCTCCACTAGCTCTGCAGCACCTAAACCAGCGCTGCCAGCAACGGCAGCCTTTGCTGCGGCCTCTGCGGCTGCTCTAGCAGCCGCTGCCACTGCTGCGAGCCTCTCTTCCTTCTCCCTCTCCTCTTTCTCCCTCTCTTCCTTCTCCCTCTCCTCTTTCTCCCTCTCTTCCTTCTCCCTTGCCTCTCTCTCCTTCCTCTCCACCTGCTCCTTCTTCCCTTTCGCCTCCACTTCCTCCTCTGCCCTTCCCTCCTCGAAAACCAGTACTCCAATGCTCTCACTCCCCTCCCCAGCCTCCTCCCACTCCACACCCTCGCTCCCTTCCCTCTCCCCAACCACCTCTCCTCTCTCAATCCTCCCGATCTCTGCCCAGTCAACGGACCGAGACACTTGCCCCTTCTCTCGCTCCCCCTCCCCTTCCCGCTTCTCCGCCTTCTCCCCCTTCCCCCGCCCCCCGTCCATCCCCCCAAACACCAGGGAGAAGTCAAACGACGCAGCAGTTCCGCCATTCCCCGCCCCATGCCCCCCTGCCCCCGCCTTCTTCCCCAACACCCTTCCCCCTGCGCCCTCTCTTCCCCTAGCCCTCCCACTCTCCTTCCCACCCTCCCTCGTTTTCACACTCGCCCTTGCCTTCTCCTCCTTCTCCTTCCTCCTCTCCTGCATCCTCTCTTCCCTCTCTTCTTCCCTCTCCTTCTCTCTCTCCCTCTCTTCCTCCCTCTCCCTCGCCCGCTCCTCTTCTTTCTCCACGGATCGCCGCATGAGCTCCTGCTCCTGCGCGATCCGCGCCACCAGCGCCGTCACCGCCGCCGCAGCCGCCTCCGCGCGCACCACCGCCGCCTTTGCCGCGGTCGATTCCCCCTTGCGCTGCCACCCGCCACTCGATCTCAACCCCGCATCCCCCGCCTTCGTTGCACCACCACCACCAGCAGCAGCACTACCAGCAGCAGCAGCATCACCAGCACGAGCAGCAGCAGCGGGAGGGGTGACGTCATGTGACCAGCGGAGGTCTAGCGGTGGCGGAAGCTCCGCAGCGCGCATCCTGGCGGCATCCGGAGAGCCGTGCGCTGCTGCCCCCTCCCCCTTCACGCGCTGCTGCATGCGCGACAGCAGCGGAGAATGGACCATGTGGGCGCTGCTCTCCCCCGCCCCGGGGCCTACCGCGCTCCCCGCGCGCCCGTCCATGCTGCGGGCGACGGCAGCGGTGGCGGCGGCGGCGGCGGCTCTGGCGGCGGCAGCTGCGCGCAGTGCCGGGGACGTGAACGTAGCTGGCGCAGCTTTGGGGGAAGCGAGCGCGGAGAGTGATGCTGGCGCAGCCTTGGGGGAAGCATACGCGGAAGTTCCGGTCTTTCCGCGCCACTCCAGCGCCGCTGACGGCAGCTGCGCGCGGAAGGCGGGTGATGACGTGGCAGAGGACGATTGGACGGCGGGCCGTGCGCGCGGGGACATGGGCGGGGAGGCGCAAGCGAGCAGCGCAGGCAGGGAGTCTTGCCCCTCTGCAGTCACACCGCCTTCCGACCCTTGATCACTGCAGCCCCCGTTCCCACTTCCACTCCCGCTCCCTCCACCGCTCTTTGATTCCGCCTCACCACTGCGAGCCTGCCGCTCCTCCACCTTCTCCCCCTCCCCATTCTCCCCCGCTCCCTCCTCCCCCTCCAGCATGCGCTCACATAGCGCCACCATGTCCCCCACGTCCATCCACTTGCGCGCCCCTCCGCCCTCTCCGCCCCCTCCGCCCTCACGCTCCGCCACCTTCGTCTGTCCGCCCCCTCCGACTGTATGTCCACTGGGTCGGTCGCACGTCCCTTCCGCCGGCATCAGCGCCGCCAGTTGCGCCAGCAGCTCTTCTTGCTCGCCACCTCCCTCCTCTTCAATCCTCTTCTCTTCCTCCCTTTTCTCCCCCTCCCCCTCCACCTCCTCCTTGACCCCCTCCTCTCCCACCTTCTCACTCTCCTTTGTCTCCTCCACCTTTTCCGGTTTGACTCCCTCTTCTCTCACCTTCTCACTCTCCTCCTCTCTCGCCGCCTCGCCTCCCTCTGCTCGCTCCTCCTCTTCCTCTTCTGCAGCGCCCCCCTCTTCTGGAACGCAAACGAGGGACTTCTGAGCGCCAGCATCGACTTGCACCGCGTTGGACCGCGCCTCATCGTTGCCACTCTTGCTCTCCACGGTCACCTCTTCCTCATTCTTCCCCTGCACTTTCCCTTCCGCCTGCGCCTCCCTTTCCCCCTCCGCTTCCCCCACCTTAATCCTCCCCCGCTCTCCCGTCCCTTCTTCCGCCTGCTCTCCCCCTTCCTCCGCGTCATGCCACTCCTCACTCTCCGCCTCCTCACTCGCAGCAGCGGAGGCGGCGGGGAGGCCAATATCAGCGAATGCGGTGGCCGCAAGAGAGGCGGCCGGCAGGCCGATATCAGCGAAGGCAGCGAGTTTGGACGGCAGCAGCGCCGCCGGCATGCCTAAGTGCGCACCACTGCTTGTTTCCTCCTCCTTCCCCGCTGCTTCTGAACCGCCGTTACAGTCACTTTCGGCCGGCACTAGCACCACCGCAGCGGCGGCGGAAGCGTCCGAGTCGCGACGAGCGCCAGTGGCGGCAGCGGCGGCGGCGGCGGCGGCGACAGGAGGACCAGCAGGGGAAGCAGCAGGGGCGGCGGCGTCTGCAGCGGCGACGGGGGCAACAGCAACGGCAGCAGCCTGAGCAGTCGAAGCATTGCCCGCAGAATTACGACTTTCAAGGCTTGCCGCTTCTATCGCCTTCCGACCGCCACCACCAGTAGCACCGCCCGCAGCAGCAGGCGCCAAGGACGCCGGGATTTGCGGCTCCAGCACCAGAGTTACCAGAGCCGTCACCTGCTGCTGCATCCTCAGCAGCCTCTCTCGCTCTCCGAGCCTCCCTGCCGAACCTGCTGCTGAGGCTGTTGTCGAGCCTGAGCGGTTCGCGACCGAGCCTGACACGTGGACGAGGCCCCGTTCCAGCGCCCAGAGTACGCGGTCTACGTCAGCAGCTGCCATGTGGCGCAACGAGGCGTCGACGCATGCCATGTGCACGAGCCAGCGCGCCACGTCGCGCGGCTGCGACGGGAACACGTGGCCGCTTTTGGTTGGCTGAGCGCGGATGTTCGTGTGGGGGAGCTGCTGCTGCGGTTGGCGCTGCTCGCGCTTAGAGAGAGGCAGCACGAAGGGCAGCATCACGAGCTGCAGCTGCAGCGACGCCGCGGACGACGCGGAGGCGGAGGAGGCGGAAGAGGCGGAAGCAGCAGTATGGGCGCGGCACGGCACGATCACGGGCACCAGGTTTCCGCTTCCGCCTCCGCCCTCCCCCTGGCCCCCCTCGCTCTCCTCCCACCCCCCCACCCATGCGCGCTCCAGCGCTCCCGCCACGCGCTCTTCCGCCTCTTTTACCGCCTGCGCCTCCGCCGATCGGGCACTACCCATTTCCCCTCCGCCTGCGCTCTCCGCCCCGTCGATCTCCGCCATGCGCTCTTTAAACTTGCTGATGATCTCCTGAGATCGGACGGCTGTGATTACTCGAGCCACCACCTCCAACATCTCCGCGCCCTCGCTCTCCCACGAGCCAATAGCAGCCTGTCCCGCGCTTTTCCTGCTTGTGCCGTTACTTCCCCCTCCCCCATCCGCCGCTATTCTCGCCGGGCCTTCCGCCTCCTCTCGTCCACGGCAGAGCGCCAGCCATTTCTCCGCGAGTTGCGGAGAGGACACGCCATCATTCCCACCGTCAGATGCGCAAACGCACGCAGCATCGCCGCGAGAAGCGGAGACTTTCCGGCAGCGAGAACAGACGCCCATGGCGGCTTGGAGGCACCGCAGGTCCGACAGCTTGCGCGCGAACGACAGCGCGATGCCCGAAAACGCCGCCTTCGCACTCACATTCGCATCCGGACCAGCAGCCACGTCAGCCGCTTCAGCGCGCGCAAGGGGGCAAACGTCGAGCGCAGCGGCGGAGGAGGCGAGGAGATCGAGGAGCATCTGGCGGCAGAAGACGTAAAATTGCAGCAGCGGACTCCGCTGCAGCGCCTCCCAGTCTGCGCCTTTTCCCCCCGCCGGTCGCGCGGCGGAGCGTTGCTGCGGAGCTCCCCCCGCGTGCAGCAGGCGCATGGCGACCCCCTTGTATTGCGCCGCCGGTTGCGGCCAGAGGTGGACGGACGATAGCTGACACGAGAGCTCGAACACGCTGTATCCGTGAAGCTTCTTGGAAGCTTCGAGGTACGCTAGGAAGAGCGGGGAGATTTGTAGCGCAGGCGCCCCCGCGGGGTGCGTGCGGAGGTGGTAGACAGTAGTCGCTACAGGCTTTGAAAGCTGGCTCGTTTGATTCGACGAACCTGCCCCTCCCATTGCTGTTGCCGCAGTGATAGACGCGAGGGTGCTTGAATGGAGCAGCTGCGTCATCAGATTGCTGCCTTTCGCTGCAGTCGTGACACTTGAACCCGCGGCCTTTTGTTCACCCCCAGTAGCCGACGCTTTCGCGCCATTTGCGCTGACGACCGCCGCGGAGGAGCCCGCCCGCGCCAGCGCCTGCTCCAACCCGCGTAGCTGCGCGGCTTCTGTCGCAAAACGCTGCGCCGTCATTGCGCGGATTGCGGCTGCGCCTGCAACGCCAGCGCTTCCCCCATGCGCCCGTGCGCGCAACGCTGCGCGCATTCCCCCACCCTCGGGCTCCGAAAGAAACCCAGAATCAACCGAATGGGAAACCGCTCCCTGTTGCATGCGCTCTTGCGCCAGCGCCGCCGCCCATTTCTCCGCCGCACCTAGGGTGCGCGGAGGGCCCTTAGGGGAGGCGCGTCGAGGGGAAGCGGGGCGGCGGCTTCGGGGGGAGCCGTCCCGCAAGGCGCGTGGTGACGGTGTGCGCTTGTACTTAAATCGAGGAGCGTTTTTACCGGAAGCTGCTGCCGACCGCGTAGCTCCGCTGCTGAGACCCTCAGCGGCAGCAGTGCTGATTTTAAGACTAACCTTTCCGCTAGCGCTACTGGCATCTGCAGTACCATTCGTTCCATTCGCTCCGTTCGTTCCATTCGTTCCATTCGATCCACTCGTACCAACCGTGAAACTACTTACGGCCCCACTCGTTCCGCTGCTTCGCTCCGAGCCGCTAGCCGGCCCAGGGATGCGCGAAACGGAGGCGAAGCGATCCATCGCCTCACCTGACGGCGCTCGATGCTTGTTGAAACTACAAAGGCTAATTTTGTCAGGTTGCCATACTGATGCTGTGCAGCTACCGCCGGTCGCTCTCCTGTCCTAGGTCTTCGTGCCGGTCGTGTGAAGCCGATATCTACTAATGGCGATGTGCGAGGCGCTGATTTTACCAATCTAAAGGCGCATAAATTGGTCTACTAGGAGTTTGGATAACTTTCGAGATGGCATAAGGAGTGCCCAAGCATTCGGTACATGTGACCTGTTTCATTCCAACGTGATTCAGTTCAGATCAGACGGTCTTGGGGTCTATTGAGCCAGTCAGTTCGTTCAGAAGGACCTGCGAGGCGAGAACGAGATCATCGACATAGACGTGTGTTGTGGGATGGACGGCTGATGGCTGTCGGATTAGTCATTCGATCAGCTGGGGTCGAGTCGACGTATTGGTGGCGCAAAGTCGCCTTGTGTTAGCTACGCATCGGGGCAATGAGCATGCGTAAGGGGGGAGGAGGGGCGCTAATGGCCTCCTGCGATTGGCCAATGTGTCCGAGTCGCTCAGTCCGAAGCAAATGAGAAGGTTTGCCTTCTAGTTTCCCCGAGTGTGGTGTGTGTCTCGGGCGTTGGGCAACACTGGGCTAGGTGGAGAGAAGGGGTAACACTGAACAGAAGGGAGAGGGGAGGTAGGGGTGGTGCTAGAGCACGCGGCAATGGCGAATCGACATAGAGCATGAAGAGGGGTAGGGGATTGAGATTCCGAGTCGGGGGCAATAAGACTGCGAACCGCGAATTCCTTTTTTTACAGTCACACAAGGGGGCCGGTCAATCACGGGTCGTGGGGTCACATGTCCCAACCACCCCAACAAGACACAAGCAATTCATTTGCGAATCAAATTCCAACCAATCCAATTAACTGTTACGCACGCTACGAAGTTCGTGGATGTCGTCAGCCTTGGAGATAGACGGAGCCGCGTCAACGTTGGAGCCGGCTACCTTGTATTGAAGTGTAAGCCCATGAGTGGTGCAAGGTACAGATTGTACCTTTTGAAACATAATCCGTTATATGTTACTTTAAATTGGTTTAACATAACTGATAAGATTTCTCATCTGCAATGTAATAAGCCTGAACAGGTTTTTTCAGCCATTTACTACAATAAAAAACATTCAATAAAAAATATTAACGTTAGATAAGTCTGTCTATCCATGAAATCTTATATTATATCATATTGTACCTTCCACAATAACGCATCTGTATACTCTGATCGATTACATATGTTCAGCTAAAAAGTTTTACACTAAACACTGAAGTGAGTCCACACTTGTGGAGTTTGTCAGCAGTCTCCGAAACGAGGTGCGACCAATTGCAAGACTTCCAGAACTCATCAAATTACATGGCAAGATGAGTCGCATGGCTTGAAACGTGGTTTTTTTTTTCATGAAATTTTCATCGCCGACACCACCACCCACTCGTGATAGCCGTCGGTTGACCCGTAGACACGAACTTTCTGAGAAATTTTATTCTTGCTTTCTGCGCTGCCACGACCTTTGTCAGCCCCAGCTGCCCAAGCGCAAGTACGTGCCCCCACCACCCCATGCGTGAGGCGCCTCGTCAGCTCCCTTGCGTAGTGCCTGCCTGCCTCCGCCCCTGCCCAACCACCCACACCGAGTGCACCACACCGACAATGAGGGCGCGCGCAACCGAAATGTGAAACCTCACATGCGGCTCGGTAATTTCTCGCACACATTCAAAATCAAATGCGCGCTGCACTCGCTGCTTCAAATGCTTGTCGCAGCCAGTTCGTTTCACACCAACTTCGCCACAACAAATGTGGAAACGCAATACCTTTTCGAATCCAACTCAGGCTGCCCCTATTCCCGGCCTCACATCACTCTTTAGGCTCGAGTAACTGTTTCCCCTGGCCAAAACTCTCGTGCACTTAGCGATGGCTGCTCGAACAACTCAGCCTCGGGCAAACCTTTCCCTACTATTTCTCGCGACCGCCCTAGCAGCAACCACCTTCGCCTCCACAGCCGCAGCTGCCGGCGACAATCTCGCGTTCTGCAAACAGTACCCCGCGCGCAACCCGAGCAAGTGCCCCGCCGTGAAGCCAATCAGCAGCCTGAACGTGGCGCGGCTGAAGGGGCGGTGGTACGAGGTGGCGGCGTCGTCGGCGCTCAAGTACACGGCGGAACTCGGCGCGGTGTGCACCACCTTCGAGTTCTCCGCCGCGCCCAAGCAGAACGGCCTCAACGCCATGAGGTATGAGGTTTGACTTTTAAGTCATGCGGTGCGGTTTACCTTGCAACTCCTTCCCTCCCTAAAGCCCATGACCTTCGTCCTCCTCGTTTCCCCTCCCCGCTCTTCGCCATTATTCCCTCTTTCCGCCCTTTTTGTCCTTGTCCTTTTCCTTCCCCTTCCCCTCTCACCTTCCCTTTCCCTCACGCTTTCCCCCCACCCTCTCTCCTTTCTCCCCTCCCGGCATGTCCCCAGCGCCACGCGGCGAGTCGTCGAGGCGGTGGGTCCCGTCCGCGCAGCGCAGGTCGGCACCATCGCCTCCGCCTCCTTCCGCTCGGCGCGCAACTTGCGCGGAGTGTGCTCCGCCGTCGCCGGCCAGAAACTCCCCACGGAGCTCTCTTACGCGTCGCTCGTCGACCAGGCGAAACTCGGTCTGCCGGCCGCCGGTTTGGACGGCAAAACTGCCGGCCTGACGTCCACCAGCCTCTCCGGCATCTCCGCGGCGCTAGGTCAGATCTCCGCGCAAGCCAGTGCGATTCACGCGAGGCTCGCGCGCATTCAGACGGATCTCGCGCCGGTGAATCAGGTCGACCGGGTGCCGAGCCTCAGCGCGCTGCGAAACAGGTTCGGGAATACAACGGAGGCGATCCGACGGTCGGTGCACGCGATCCAACGGTCGAGAGGGAGGATCTTGAAGCAGGCTGAGCAGATGCGCTTGGGCGTTATGAACGTGCAGGCGTCGTCTGCGTCCAAGAAGAACCGACTCCAGGTACCACCTCCCCCCCACCGACGCGTCTCTGGGCACTTTTGAGGCGCCCCATAAGCAGCCATCTCCGCTGCCGCTCACCCCCACGCCTTCCGCACCCCTCCCCCTGCTCCACTTGCACTCTCCTCCCTACCTACCTCTCCTTGTGCGCGTGTTTTGAGGATGTTCTTGAGATAACCCTTCCTGCCTTCCGCCTCCCCTGCACCTTTCCCCCTCCTCCGTCACCCTCAGCTGCTGAACGCCACGCTCGCCCTGCAACGGCAGGCGTCCGCTCTGCCGTGTCCGACACCACCCGACTCTAGAGTCGACTAGAATTTTACATCCCCTCCTGTCCCTTTCCCTCCTCTGCCCCCCTCCCAGCTGCTAAACGCCACACTCGCCCTGCAGCGGTAAGCGTCCGCTCTGGGCTCGCTAGCAGTTTCCGCCACCAAGATCGGCCTCCTCTCCTCCCTCGCCACTCCCGCCGTCGCCAGCTCCTGGGCGTGTTCAGATGATTTTTAAAACACCCAATCCTGCCTTCCCCTCCCCTGCCCCGTTTTCTTTCTCCCCTCCTCCCCCCAACCCCCCTCCTCAGCTGCTGAGCGCCAGGCGTCCGCTGTGGGCACGCTAGCCGTGTCCGCCACTCACACCCCCCTTCTCTTCGTGCCCTCGCCCTCCCTCCCCCCAGCTGCTGAACGCCACACTCGCACTGCAGCGCCAGGCGTCCGCTGTGGGCATGCTAGCAGTCTCCGCAGCCAAGATCGGCCTCCTCTCCTCCCTCGCCACTCCCGCCGCGACCACACTCTTCGAGTCGCCTATCAACCTCACCCAGGCAGTGAGCGTGCGGGGCATGCTGGTGCAGGGGAAGCAGGGCGACGGCAGCGTCATGATGAAGTTTGGAGGGGATGCTGCTGTGAGGTACTCAGTCGTGCACGCCACGCCGGGATTCGATTTGATTGTGCTGTACGGGTGCTCTGCCGCCAACCGAGCCAAGCTCGCAGCCACGGAAGGACAGGTGAGATTAACTGTGGAACTATCTGGCTGGAAGGCGAATCTGGCGTGTGATGTTTTATCTGGTAGTGCATTCCTGTTGGAATATATCAACCCCTAACCGCCTGCTGTCTCTCCTACCCCCCTATCCTGCCTGCAGGCCAAGGTGTTGGTCCTGGCGAGGCAGCGGACAGTGTCTGCCAGTGAGCTCGCGGGCGTGGAGGCAGCACTGCAGGCCAAGGGTGTCGTGCTGGGTGGTGCCAACGTGCTGGTTACCACCGATCAGTCCTGCCCGTAACCACTCTAGAAGTGCAGGTTTCCTCTATGCTGGTTTCCTCGCGCTGAGGTCCAATAGAAGAACAGAGGTTCCCATACCGAGTGGTGTGTAGTAGACTAGTGTACCGACTGTAGTTAGCTCTAACAGATACTTGTAGCAGAGATGAGTTCAACTTGCTGCTAAGATACTCCGGCACCAGATGGTAGCTACCAGAAACTAAAGCTTTGGTAGCACCATAGATACCACTTATGGTGGCCGAGAGGTGAGGGTGTCAGTATTCATCAACATGTCCCCCCCTTCCCCACTAAAGTCTAGAAAAGATTGCATATTTG